TTTAACAAGACTTGATAAAATGAACATTCCTGAATTTCCCAATTATAGAACAAAGGCAGGTAGTACTGCAAGCCCCATTAAGAGGTTTGGGGGAACAAACATTTGATATTTCTATTGCATAAAAAAACCAGCCAAGATACTTCTGCTTTTTCTTTTTTCTAGACTTGGACTTTTTAAATGAAAGGACAATGAAGAGACCTCACCATTTTTAAAGCCCATCATTTCTTTCTTAAGACATAGGACAAAGTAGAGCAAAAGGATTAGTTTTTGAATGCAGGGCATTTAATAAATTAGCAGACAAACTGCTTAAAGTGATGATACATTTTCACAGATACAAATGCAGCTGTTTTTCTGAAAAGAAAGGCAAATCTGGTTGTTCCTCAGCACAAGGATGGCTTACGTACACCAAGAGGTAAATACTTATTTGATCACAGATGATGTTAGCTCAAGTAGAATTTGCTTCTTTCTCCACGTCATCATCATCGTCAACAACCTGTAATCAAAGCCAGGAGTAGCTTAGGTAAACAGTTTAAACCCCCAGGTGTGTGGGATTGCAGAGAATTTATTACACTAAATGCCAGCAGGGCCCACAGAGATCGACCCCCCTGGCTCCAACTTCCTCTCAGGCAGTTGCAGAGCAGAAGGTCTCCCCTCAGCCTCCTTCTCTCCAGGCTGGACACCCCCAGCTCCCCCAGCTGCTCCTCAGAAGACTTGTGCTCCAGATCTATCTTCTCATTTCCAAACTGCTCTATGACAGCACTTATTCAGAAGTAAAACAGAGAAGCCATTATGATGAATTTGCACAGCAAACTGGGACAGGCACAGCTGATGATGGAGCAATGTACTTGTTCAGACAGCTTAGTTACACTGTCTACATGTAACTACCATGATCAAATACTGTTTGAAAAAACTTGGTAAAAGCCTAAGGCTACAAAAAGACAGTGATCCCTTCTGAAGAAAAATGCTGTTCACTCTACTTCATCTTGACACTAAAGTCACTAATGAGAGATTTCCTTAAAAAGCCCAGAAAACAACCAAAATACTTGAAAAATACCAGGGCAGGGGGAGATTTTGAACTTGTGAGAAGAACACACTGAATACAAACAAGCAGGAAGGTCACCCACCAACTACGAAACACTAAGTTTTCAGCCAGTGCAGCCACCTCTGCTTTCATCTAGCAGTGAGGAATGAGGCACAACCCCAGGCAGCCAGTCCTTGTTCAGAGCAGTGATTGCAGTCAAGCTGCTCAGTGCTCCTCCATTTACCCTTGGTCAGTTGTGAAGGTGGAGGAGCTGACTTCAAACTTTACCCCCCACCCTACTTCCACATCTTCACTTCAGAAGCTGAATTCCTTGTGGCACTGGAACTTCATTTCCCAGGTGAGAAAGGAACTACTAACCCACCAAAAGGTGATCCCAAAAATATACATAATATGTTCTGGCATGGAAATACTGCTCTCCTCATCTTCGGCCACTCTTCAAATTCTCTTACTGATCTACTAGACCAGCTGGGTTCATCTGATGGTTTATTTCTATCCTGGGGGTTCCTTTGCTGCCTTGCAGCAGCTCCCAGCTCACAATTTCTTAACACTCACAGAATTTCTTAATGTGTTCACTACAAACCTAAAATACTCCTTCATTGTCTGAAGAAAAACAAAAGGATGAACTTACTTACTGATGAGGGATGTCCCAGACCTGAAGGAGCATGGATGGACCTTCCAACCACTCCTAAAATACAGGGTTTATGTCAGCAGCACAGCAAGTGCCAAACTTTATGACTTAAACCCATACCATACTTGATGTTATGCAGATACATCTCTCAAACTGAGGCTAACTCATCCATCCATATGTACTAATCTGGCACAAATTCCTCAGAATTTTACACATACAGAAATTTAGCTCTGTATGTTTAGTCTTCAAGTAGCTATTCATTTTTTTCCCCATAAAAATCAGTATTTATCCCCTATGTAACTTGTTCCTTTATTCTGAGGTTTCCTGTAAATATAATAGGTGTTTTTACTACCATGTATAGTTCATGCTCATTAGTACCAAACAGTTCCCCAAACTATAACACTCCAGCCTCTTAATATTAACAGAAAGGGTTAAATAAAAAAAGGGAAAATAAAAAACTCCTGCTCCCTTCTCCTCTAAGCTCAACATATTTCTCTTGAAATAGAAGTTCTGGCTAAAGTCCTGAATTTTAGATAGTTTGCAAACTATCACCTACTGGAAAACAGCACATTTTGTGATCCCTGACATAAAGCATTTTGAATATTAATATCAAGTAACAGGAGCCATTTCCTCCTGCTACTACACTGAAAGTACCTGTTCCAAAAATGCTGTCAGCAAAGGCTGTGGCTGTTGATTGCTTCACACTGTGCACTACAGCCTGATCAGCAGACTGCCTTACAGACAAGCAGGCTAGTTTCTCCTAGGAGCATGGAATGAGTCACATCCTGACCAAAAGCACATGTCCACCTGTGAACAGTTTCAAGACAGTAAGAGTTTAGATAGCTAAAATTAACTTATCCTCTAAAAGAAAGTGCTACAGCAGAGCTTAGGGAACACAAACAGATTTTGTGTTTCCTCTGTCTGAAATGGGTGAAAACAAAAATGGCTGAATGGCAGACTGTAATTTGCACTTATCTATGGCACTTTTTTCTTTAGAAAAGACCAGAATAATTTCAGGCAGTCGTTACTATTTTAAATGTAATTACTAAGTGCAAGTTATATAAAATTTCAGTCCAAATACCTGGCTGACCTGAGCATTACAGTACAGCACAGTTTCCCAGCCCCCTAATTGGGGACCCTTCTTTAAAACCAGAGCTGTAAGAACACCCCATCACAGATCACACTGCTGTAGAAGACACTGGCCACTTCATTAGCTCCTAAACACTGAACAATCATTACCGGATTCCCAGTTCCTCAGTCTGTCAAAGATTCCTTAGGTGAGTGGAGGAGATGGGACACCTCTAACAGGGATTCCTTCCATGAACTAAGATGTTCCAGACAGAGCTGAGAAGGTCCCCACAGGAACTCCCAATGATGTGGCTGACAATTTCACCACACCAGGCTGCCACAGTATTACAATGTATGATTATGGCTCATGCTGCAAATACAGTTAGGTTTTGTTTTGTTGCCCAAGGGAGAATTGGTACTTAACCCCCTCCCTCTGCTTTCATTTATCCAGAGTTGAAGAGCACCCCTAGAGCTTTATGCTGCAGAAATGCAACCACTGCCTCAAAAAGCTTACTTTGCAACGGGACAAAACAGGTAAAAGAGGATGGGACACGAGTGTCTGGTGCTTCCCTCTCCACAACAGAGCTTGAGGACACACAGGATACATGTTGGACATGGAATGTCTTTGATCTCAAGATGTTTAATCTTCAGGTTTAGTTTGGTCCTATTTGTACAAATCAAGACTGGAAATACAGAGACAGCAGCAGAACTGGATCCTACTGTACCTGGAAGAGATTAGTACTGCTTAATGGAAAAATAAAGACCACATCTTTAAGAGATACATTTTATTTAACACACAAAACAGCCACTTTGCAGCTTAACTTTTGGCTTCTATAGTGCATTAAATTGACAAATGAGGCCTAAAAAGACCTATTTTTGAGAAATCAAACATTACTCGCCATTCTATGGTTTGCTGACCAAGAAGAACATGGTGATAAGATCTGCACAAGGTCTCTTTTGGGCAGTTTGAGCCCATCTCGAGGGGAACTTTGTCACTGACACACTTGTAGGATTAGGCATTGTGTAGTCCATTAACAGGGTAAAGAAAACATGATCATTTCAAACCAAGTTCCAAAACCCGAGTAATTTACATGACTCTAGGTTATTACTCTCCATGAAAGCTGAAGAAATATTTGCTACAGTATTTATTTCTAATTTCTAACAAGCAATACAAAAATTATGGCTACCACATGCTGATCTGCATGCTATCATTTTCCACTGCCTTAATTGATCTTGTTTAGTGACTCAATGAAATTACACTGGCAAGGAGTGTAAGAGGGGAACACATGGAGGCTGTCAAACCCTTGCAGGCAGGCAATATTATTGGAACCATCAGCCAACCAACAACCACAACCTCAGCCCAATTGTGGCAGCACAATCAAACAGTATTTCCATCAGCAAAGCCACCTGGGCACTGGGAAGTCATTCAGCCTTATGCACACAAGTCAACAGAAATACTTGCACAGCCTGAGTTCCTGATCTCAGTTTCAGAACAATAAATATTTATCCTCCTATAGTCTCCAGAACTGGGACGTGTCCTGCTGTGCCAGGTCTCCCCACAGCTGCACTCATTGGCAGGAGGATCTCAGGAGGAGCCAACAGGACACAGTGCAGGAAACACTTTCATTTTTTTTGCTATTCTGTGTAATTCATGCCCTTAAGCACTGCACACTCCTCTTGATGTTGGAGTCTTATGTCAATAAACAATCTTTTGCAAGTTTAAACAGACCACTAATGGTGCCTGAATAATTTTACTTCTAAATAAAGTAATTAGTCTCTTTACTTACTAAATCTGATAAGGATCATCTTCTAACATCTATTTTAAAACATTTTTATAACAAAGAACTCAGTTTTTTGCTTCTGCTGCTATTGTTTGCACACTGGTAGTGAGCAAGTAGGTAACTTTCCACAAATGATAGTCCTAATATATCCTCCATGATGAGCAGCTGAAGTTACGGGTTATTTTTCACTGAAAAAGTATATGAACTAGAAGCTTTTTAACAAGACTTGATAAAATGAACATTCCTGAATTTCCCAATTATAGAACAAAGGCAGGTAGTACTGCAAGCCCCATTAAGAGGTTTGGGGGAACAAACATTTGATATTTCTATTGCATAAAAAAACCAGCCAAGATACTTCTGCTTTTTCTTTTTTCTAGACTTGGACTTTTTAAATGAAAGGACAATGAAGAGACCTCACCATTTTTAAAGCCCATCATTTCTTTCTTAAGACATAGGACAAAGTAGAGCAAAAGGATTAGTTTTTGAATGCAGGGCATTTAATAAATTAGCAGACAAACTGCTTAAAGTGATGATACATTTTCACAGATACAAATGCAGCTGTTTTTCTGAAAAGAAAGGCAAATCTGGTTGTTCCTCAGCACAAGGATGGCTTACGTACACCAAGAGGTAAATACTTATTTGATCACAGATGATGTTAGCTCAAGTAGAATTTGCTTCTTTCTCCACGTCATCATCATCGTCAACAACCTGTAATCAAAGCCAGGAGTAGCTTAGGTAAACAGTTTAAACCCCCAGGTGTGTGGGATTGCAGAGAATTTATTACACTAAATGCCAGCAGGGCCCACAGAGATCAGCAGTAATTCTACACCACTAAATGACAATGGTCACATGAAAAAGGTAAGGAACACTTGCAATCAAAAGCGTCAGTAGGAAACGTGGCTGAAATAATAAGCTACTTTAAATGGGCACCAGAACAATCACTATGAAGTATCAGATTTTTAGTGAGTAAGCAAAACAAATCTGCATTTTAGTGGACAAAAGCTTATCCCTTCACACAAAAAGTCACCAAAGCATAAAGGTAACAATCACTGGCAGACACAGTGTCCAGTTACAGCTCCTCAGTAGAGGACAGACATGGGCATACTGGAGCAGACCAGCAAGGGATCACCCCCTTCAACCTGCTGGAAACAGCACATGTTGGGTCCATGGGGCTGTACAGAACTTTAAAGAGTTCTGGATCTTTTGCTAAGAGACAGACGGTGTCTAACTTGGAAAACCTGCATCTGTACATCCTGTATTTTTGCTTAAACTGCCAACCTATCCACCCTGGAAAGGGACTAAGACCTGCTTTGCATGTAAAAGAAAACAACTATTATCTCTCACCAACCCACCTGTTCCACACCTTCTACTTCAGGGATGTAGAACTGGAGCATATTCTGTATCCCATTCTTCAGGGTGATGATGGAACTGGGACAGCTGGTGCACGAACCCTGCAACTTCAGCTGCACAATCCCATCCTCAAAGCCTTTATAAATAACATCACCACCATCTTCTTGCACTGTCGGCCTGATGGAACATGACACAGTTTAAAGCAAGTAGAGCTGAAATAGGTTTCCTTTTAGAAATATTTAGTAAAGATCAATTTAATATGCACAAAGAACTGTCAAGACACAGTAACTAAAGTCCTGTTTCCCTA